TTTGCCCATCGTGTAGATTCCCATTCCCCTTAATCAAGTATTCTATCAAGAAATTCACTTAAATGATGATTAAACGGCAAACCTTTAGGCCAATGAAAATAAAAAATTCCCCTTAACAACAATAAATCGTGTTAAATCTTTTGACTAATTAAAGAAGTTCGCCTAAATAATTAAACAGCAAATCTTTTGGCCAAATAAAATTAAAAATTGATTTAAGTAACAGTAACTCGTGGCACCAAGTAAATCGTGGCAAATCTTTTTGGATATGGAAATGTTGTAACAATCATCGAGTATCTCAGACTATTATATAAAATGTGGTATGAACTGTTCTGGGAACTAGAAGATGAAGACGAGGAAAGCATATAAGGAAGAAGGAACAAGTAGAAAAATAGAGAGAGAGAGAGAGTGCGAGAGAGAGAGAGAGAGAGAGAACAAATAAGAATCTCGACGAGGAGGAAGAAGGGAGAGAAAAAGAGGAAAGGGAGAAAGAGGGAAGACCTCATGGAGGATCTCCTCTAGAGACCAGAAAAATTCAGAAAGACAGCCAACAGGCGGAGATGGAAGCGGTCGACTCCTGTACAATCCCTAGCAAAACTTCTATCCCCAAACAATTACTAATTATTATTATTGTATTAAGAAGAAAGGAGAATCAAAAATCTCTGACTTATTTATTCATTTCTTTAGTATTTAAATTAATTCGACTATTAAGGGAACTCATTTTTTAGAAAACTCATAGACCCATTCTTAGAAAAATTATTTGATAACTGACAATGGGAATAATTTTAATACTTCAACCTCCACATTGGAGCTTTATTTGGTAAAATATTGGAAATGTAAAATTTTAGTTTTAATACTCCCAGTTTTTCTCTCTCTCTCACTCTCTCTCTCTTTGGTGGCTATCGGGATTAGGACTGACACCCCCTTTTTTTATTCTGGTTGATAAGGAATGGTGACCGAGTAAGATAAAGCGGGAATGAAACGTATGTAGAGAAGAGATGAAGTAGCGAGGTCAGTTTGCTCTTTCGTGTAGAGAAGTATTGGGTGACATCATGCGGGTGCGTGGGCGATTGTGTACAGTCTATACCGTATTCTGTTGTACAGGATAAACTCGATGTAGATTGATAAACGGTACGTTAAATTTGGAGGAAAAGATATTAAAGAGTAATCTAATATAGAGAATGTTCCAACATCTGGCAAAGTTTTGACAATTTGTAAACATTGGAAATCTTTTTTCAATATAAATGATCAATTGAATGGCTTGAAAATATTCTTACTTGTACTACGAGTATAGTAGTACATTTCTGAATTTTTTCAGCAATTTTCATCCGCTAGCAACGGAGAAAATAAATTTTGAAGATATCGAGAATCGTATGCCAAGTAAGTACCCTTTTAGAACTGACAAAACCTACAAATTTACGATCCTCACGAATTTATTTTTAATATAAGTAATGGATATAAAAATTCACGCAAGTTTCACTCGCGTAGAAGTGCGACTCCTAACTTTTTCATCAAATTCCATACGCTAGTTCCGGAAAAACAAATCGCGGAAAAACAAAAATGTCGAAAACTCATGTTCGAAGGTCACGCGATGAAAATCTGAAAGTTTGCAAACCTTATAGAAACGATGTTTTACTCTTACAGTAATGCGTTTCTCCAAATTTTGAGAATTCTCTATTCATTAGATTTGTAGAAAAAAATCTCAAACGATGCACTAGATATTAAAGTAATGTCTCTTATCTCCTGTTTATTTGTTTTCTAACTGCTATCATGTATTCAAATTCTATTTTATGTTCATAAAATATGCAAAAACGTCTGTGAAATAGTTTCGAATTCATTCGAAATTCTTACGTTCATTACGAATACTTGCCCCAGGCTCGAAGGGAACTGTTTATCAGTAGTTTGCTTCTATGCTTTAGGTACGACGCTGATAAGGGCACGTTTATCTTTCGGCAAACCCATCGATCATTTATCCAACGTTATTTCAACGAATTTCAACAATTTTACATTCCATTCAATTAATAATTTCAACAATTATTATCCACCTCTCCTCTAATTATAAAAAATTGTGTCTGAATTTCATCTAACGTAAGATCAATTTCATGTGTGCGTCAGTTTGAATAAAACTAAATGATATTTTTCTTTTAATAATTACAATAGAGCAGAATAGAATAGAATATATTTTATTCTCAGCTTTCTGGACCTGGAAAAGGACTCGTTCATAAAATATGCTTCTTATCTCTCACGCACATTCATCTTTGCCATACTCCTAATGCAATAAATCGAATAATATGTTCATAATTTCAATAATTATTGTATAGTATATCTTTAAGGAATTATGTCTGAATTTCATTTATAATAAGATCCATTACAAATCTGTATCAATTTGTGATTGAATAACTTTTTTCTCTTAATGATTCAAATAATAATTACTCTCTATCTCTCCTCCAATTGTAAGAAATTCTGTTTGATTTAAAATAAGGTCCATTACAGATCTGCATCATTTCAATAAGACTGGATAAGATTTTTTTTCTAATAATTTCAATAATTGTTATATGTATGTAGTATATCTATCTAAGAAATTCTGTCTGAATTTGATCTAGTTGTAAGATAAGATCTGTTGTAGATCTGCAGACGAATAATGACTGAATAAGATTTTTCCTTCTCTTTAAATTCATATTTCTATTGAATTTTTTGACTAAGTTTTTGGAAGGAAAGCGTTCGAGCCTTTAGAGCTAGGCCCGGGGTTTCGTCTGGAGAGGCCGAGGACCGGTTTTTATAACCTTTGGAACACGTACCCGGGCCCACCGCATTTTAGCTTCTACATAGAGAAAGAGAACACATCTACCATCGATCCTTCCTATCATTTATAAATATGATCATGTTTAGTAGACAATTTAAATTAATACTAGTAATAGTAGGTAATTAAATATAGATAAACTCGCTTTGAAAATTAAACGAACTTGTATGGAGAGATAAAAAAGTGAATCGTCAACTCTGGGAAGCGAGCTGAACGGGCAAACTAATAAACTTAGACGAAGAACAAAATCCATACTTCATAGAATTAACATAATAATCGTGAAGTTTGCAAGCCTTGGAATTTAATAGTAAAAAATGAGAAATTATTGAAATCTCGTAAATTGATATTTTATTCGATGTCAGAGTAAATCGAATAAGAAACATAAAGACTGCAACTACAATTACCCTCGGATTACGAATTTCATTCAGAACGCATTGGAGGAAGGATAAAATCTAAACCTCATAAAATAATGTCATAAAATTCTTGAAGTTTGTAAATCGATAATAAGAATTAAGAAATTGTTAAAATCTCATGATTTCATGTTCCATTTGATATCAGAGTGAATCGAATAAGAAAGGTTAAGACTGCAACTGCGATTACCCTCTAATTATTATCGATCTTACTCAAAACCCAGCCATTCCAAATTTGAACAATCAAATGAAAAACGTACCAATTAGGCAGAACTCCACTGTGGCGACTATTTGAGCACGTTCCAGTCCGAAACTCGTCTCATCCTGTGAAGATTCGAGCAACGAGGCGTGAGCATAGCTCCCGTGCCGTCGGTAGGCTCACTGTCAAACTGGCAGCACTCGCACTCCGGTCGAACTTCAACGTACCGAACGGAGAAAATTTGTCGTAGACTCGAAGTATCCCAATTGTCACTTGTTACAATTTAGTAGACAGTGTTCCGATGCTGGATTCAAGGACCCCAACCCCCAATCCACGCCAGTTCACTCTAAAGATTTTTTATAATAGATTTCAAAACGGACTGAAGGAAATTCGACATATATAGACGAGAAATACTCCAGTTGTCACTTGTTATAATTTAGGAAACAGTGTTATCCGAAATTATATTCAAAGACTCCAATCCACGCCATTTCACTCTAAAAGTTAAATTTTCACTGGTCCCCCATCATTTTTTAAAAAAGTATCAAGATTTTATATTTCCACTCAAGTAGGAATAAAAAGTCTTTAATTTTTCTTGGGAAAAATTGAAAGACAGATCGTTTATTTACTACTAGACGATTGCCAGCAGTGAAAATGATTTCGGTTTAATTAATTCTTATTCAAAAATATGCATACCAATTTTATTGAACCCTAAATACGACTTTTAGACTTCCTGTTTAATGAATTGAAGGTGGTACGATTTATTTAAAAGCAAATGTGAAATCTAATGTCGATTTGGCAACAGATCATATTTTTATTTCGAAATTGGTACAATTTTCGAGAATTCTACTGGAAAAACTGTTCTTTTGAACAGTTTTTGAGTTTGAATAAATAAAAATGGGGTAGATTAATTCTGTTTTGTCTTATACCGCCTGAAAGTTGAGGGTTTAAGCCTGAATATAAAGTCTAACATCTATTTATTAGGGAGTAATAAACAATATCAAACATTTTTAAGAATTTTACTCAGAAACCAATTTTGGCGAATGAACAATCAAATTTCTATATTTGTTTCAAAAATAATTAAATGAAACACAGTAGGATCGACTGGAACCAATGGTACAGAATCTATTATTTCTAAAACGAATCCAAAAATACCGAAAATTAAAAGATTTTCGAATTTTCAATCCAAAAATGAAATGTCGAAAAAGTAAACTTGCGAATATTTCGAATGAACTTAAAATACATATGATTTACTGAGTTTCGAAAATATTTTTGATTCCAGACTACCACACATCGAAATTAAATTGTTTTTGAGTGGAACATCCATTTTTGAACAGGACATTTGCGTTTATTTCAAAAATATTTAATGGAAAGACAAGTGGTTTGGATGCATTCGATATTAAATTTGAGATTCGACCAGATTTTAATTCTTCGACTCAAAAATATCGATTTCGATGATTTTTTTACTTGAAAAAATTTGAACAATTTTGATTAAGAACAATTGTATCTCCACCGAAAATACTCGATACAAACAAAGGAAACTCNATTACATTTAGTCAGTAAAAGACTAAAAAACTTTCAAGAACAACTCTCGTAGTCAAAATAATTCCATGTTTCACCTAATTCACAATAAAATTTTGAGTTCTCTCTGAACATTAAAAAAATTGTCTAGTAAAAACGAAATTTTCTCATGAAAATTTTTATTTACCGTCAGGAAATGGTGGTTTTAGTTGTCCAGAGAACAGGATTCGAATTTGGCAGCTGGGCAAGGTGCGGCCCTTTCGCGAGATCACAGCCGAGCTACATTTTCAATAATTTTTCCAAAAATGATTCCAACAAATGAATTTTTATAACGGCTTCACGAACGAATCGCTGGTGCTGTGTCCAATAGCTCGGTGTCCGATCATTTTCGGTCCTTTTGGCCCCATTTCACATTTATCTCGACCAGTCCTCGAACATTTTTCGAAAACATCGCGCGGGCTACGAATTTTCGAAAATATTTCACGGGAATCGATCGAAGGCGTTCAGTTCCATTCCCTTTAATGCGGGCGCCGCGCCGCCGGCCGGCTCTAGTCACTCTCGACTCGACACACAACGACCGACCGCGAGGAAATATTCCAAAAAAATCTACATAAATGTGTGTACGAACGATTTCCGAAAGTCTGTAGTACTCCTCTAATAAACAAAGCACTGCAGTCCACTTGCACTCGGTTCCACTGTTTTCCAACTATATTTTTTTATTCCCTCGATAAGATTTCACTCTTTTTTTGCACGTAATGTTCTCTTCAGGACGGTTCGCCGCGTTTTTTTATATGAAAATTCTGTTACTACCGGTGGAATTACAAGGCGAGACGGGTAGCATGTTAGCCGGAGATCGGTTGAACTGCGACTAAGAGCTGGCAAGTGTTCGATGCCCGTACCGCCCCCACCACCTATGCAGAATTTCATGTCGAGGAGCTGTTTGATCACGCCTAGAAAAGGTTGGATCAACGTTCCACACACCCCTCGAAGCCACACCTCGATTTTATCAAGCTGCGATCACCGTTGTACTTCCATTTTGCAATAAACAAATTATACAAATGATTAAATGAATAGGGGTTGAATTAAATGAACAGGGGTAATGATAAAAAATATTGAACGTTCGATTCTCATTTAACGTATGACCAACGAGTTTTTATGAAAATTGCTAGATAGTTTCGAGAGACGGAGACTACAATCTTTCGAATTAAAATTCATTCAAGCTTGCTGGGATTTATAGGTAGAATTACTAGGCGTATCAATTTTTGATTGGGATAGTCTTTAGATGAAGTAGTAACATCAGAGTAGAAAGAATTTAGAACATAATAATATAACATCAAAATTAAAAAGAGGGAAATCAAAGGATTTGATCGGACGCCATTTTGGAGAACCTCAGAAGCCTAGAAGTCTATTAAAAAGAGATTTCTATTCCACAATCCTGACTCTCTGCCTTTGCTAGACAGCAGGACACTCTCTCTCTCTCTCTCTCTCTCTCTCTGTCTCTCTCTCGTTCTATTTTACACTCCTGGTACTCTGTCCTTCATCCGCTTGCTCCTATTTCCTCTATATCTATCTTCCTCCACTGATACCCATTCCTACTCCTGATACACTATCTCGTTCTATTTTGTACTTCTAATACTCTATCTTCCATCCTCTTGGCACCACCTGCTCTTTATCCATCCTTCGCCACTCCTGATACCTTCTCTCTCAATTCTCTTTCAGCAGGACACCGTCAACAGCCTTCCTCACTCTTCCTCAGTCTGTTTCATACTGCTGATACTCCATCTCCTTCTATTTTATGCTCCTGACACTCCATCCCAGTCTGTTCTATGCCTCTAATACTCTGTCTCGTTCTGTTTAACGCTCCTGCGGCTTTCTCTGCGATTTCATCTGTCCCGGGCCAAGATGGCGGCAATTCAAACGGAGCGGGAGGAGCACGCATGCGTGAATTTATACGGTTTCAAACGGAGAGGCGGTAGGATCTCTAATAGAAGGCGGAGCGTTGTTTCGTATTACATGCGTGGAACGTAGCACCGGTGTGTTATGGCATGTATAGATAAGTATATATACATAGGTAGAGGAAAAACCGCGGCAAAACGAGGTGTCGAGCAGGTGCCGCCACTGGTTGCCTGGTTTTAGTAGAATAACAGGTTGATACGAATTGAAATTTCGAGGGTGCCTGACAATTTTAGAGAATGGAACATTTCTTTTAAGTCTAGTTAGTCTCATTCGGATATTTTATTACAGACCACGGTTTCTTGATTTTCAATTTTTTATAATCAAAAAGCTTGATAATTTCGAGGAAGAGGAGGGGTTTTAATAAAATTCTCCATTCTCAATCGGTTATTTTTATTTTCTGTTTTCGTCCTAGGATTAATCATTTAAAATTTTAATTATTGGAAATTTGAGTAGTCATAAGGTTAACTTGCCTCGGTGTGAGATAACTGTACTTTTGCCATTCCACAACTCGAGTACCTCAGTGCGATCTAAGTGATTACGACAGCTGGTAAAATACTAAATTCCGTGGTAAGCACAAGCCCACTTGTCCAGAACCTAGAAATCTGCTACATTTTCATTCTATAAAGCGTTAAAATTCATTTTCGTATCCTGAAAATCATCCCAACCTCAATTGCAGTATGAAATCTAACCTAAAAAAGTGATTGCATAAACTATTAGCTCCATGTTGACGTTAGCTGATCGTTGAAACGTGATTAAAATCGATTAGGTCAGTGTTTTTACAATCAAATTATTCTTCGTAGCGTTAATTAAAGCGTAGAGAACACACCTTCGTAAACAGCGCCACTCCGTGGCGCCTGGAGCGAACCCGGTGTTCCCTTTACCGCACGTGGCGCCATTTTCGAAGTAAAATTGCATTTCTGATGAATTTAGGTCCTAGCAATTACTTAACACCTTGCGTACCGCTAACGAGTTTTCTCGTTTTTCTCGCGCTATCTATTACGGACCTTAGACATCAATACAGTGGCCGGTATTCAGAATCGTTGCTTATTCTTAAAATTGTCTTAAGAATTTGTTATCCCTGTCTATCCCATATTTCCAGTCCTTGTCTTGTACAGGGAACAGGGACCTAAGCAAATGCTTAAGACGATCTTAAGAATAAGCAACGACTCTGAAATACTCTGAATCAGCGTTGAGATATTCTTTCCCACGGCCGGAAAGTGGGGACGACGCGACCATGGTGGGGACCAATAGTTGGTGGGGGTATGCAGTGATTTTCACGGTAGCGCTGCGGAGAGCTTCGCGAACGCGCATGAGCACGCATGAGGGGAATAGTAGTGGGGATCGAAATACGGGCGAAAAACAGGAGAAGCGAGCCTCGTGGGAAAAAATATCTCAACGCTGCTCTGAATCAGTGTTAGGATTTGGGATACGGGCCGGGTTTTCTCGCGCATGCGCGGCTTTTCAATAAAAAATTTTCGACAAAATGAGGCGCCGCGATCGCCCTACATAATTTTGCGAAAATGATTACAAATTGAACATCGATTTTACCGACAACAGTCTCTCTCTCGGTCTTGTCCCGTCAATATTCCGGCAACAGTCTTCGTCTCGGTCTTTCCCCGCCAATATTACTTCCAGGAGTCCGAGGAGTTCCAATATGTGCGCGCCAACATACGTTATTGAAAATGCCGCGCATGCGCGAAAAAACCCGGCCCGTATCCCAACACTGCTCTGAATCAGGGTGCGCATAATTTTTCCCTCGGCCGCAAACTGGGGACGACGCGACCATGGTGGGGACTGGTACTTGATGGGGGTATGCTAGGCATGGTCAGCGAAGGAACATGAGGGGAATAGTAGTGGGGATCGAAATACGGGCGAAAAAGAGGGGAAGCGAGCCGTGAGGGAAAAATTATGCGCACCCTGCTCTGAATACCGGCCAGTATCTTATCCACATCGGATGAAGCGATCTCATTGGTGGAAGCCACGCAGGTCAATTTACGAAAAACTATAAAATTGCGCGAACTCGTAAAGTGTTGCAATTACCTTGTATTTTAGTCATTTGAATAGTCTTCGTCTTCAACTTCCTGGCGCTTTTAGAAATGCCTTCTCTCAGAAAAGGGAAGGAAACCAACGAAATTGATACACTTGCGGAAATATTTAACGATATTTTACCAGATATTCCTAGTGAGATCGAAGATGCAAATGACCGTTTTGGCAATTCCGGAGACAATTCTACTGATTCTACTGATAGTGAAATTATTAGACCTGTAAGAAAGCGTAGGGTGGCGGTGCTTTCAAGTGATTCCGACACTGAAGAAGATAGTTGATAATTGTTGGTCTGAAATTGACACTCCACCACGCCTACAAACGTCTGAAGGTCATGCTGGGGTCTCAGTGTAACTCTGTACCCTCTGTGACCAATCTCTTTTTTGGTGATGAATTGTTTTGAGATGATGTGCAAAGTGCTGTTTGAGATGCTGTCCAACTATCACGATCAAGACTCAATGAAACATCAAACAGCATGTAGAGCACTAAAGTGGTCTCCGGTTACGCAGGACATCAAGGAATTCCTTGGCCTAATTATTCTGATGTGTCAAACAAGAGAAGATGGCTTGAAAGATTATTGGCCAACAGGTCCTTTGATAAGTACCCCTATATTTCCACAGACCTGTAGTTATAATGATTTAAATAACGTGCAATTTGCTCAAAACGTACAGTCCCTCACGCATGTCTTAGAAATTTCTCTGCGGTACGCAATGTGTTAAAATAGCCCACTTATCTCGTCGCTCACGTCAAATGATCCGTAGCCTAAATTAAACATCCCTTGAACCTCTCCTCCCACCATCGTATTTTTTAATAAAATTCTCGGGAATTAACAGAAAATGCAGAAGGCGATGTTGAAATGGAACGGAGTACCCACGCAGGTGGTGACGGCGGGTCGTTGGATAGAGGAAGGCCTTTCACCGACCGGTAAAAGAGACGTAGTGATCGTAGTCACCGGAAATCCGGGGATAGCAGAGTTCTACGAAGAATTTACTAAGAGTTTAAAAAGCAGATTGCCCAGCGAGGTTCCCGTGTGGGTAATAGGTCACACGGGGCACGTGCAGCCACCCAGCAACTTGGCAATAACTATGCCCAGTGTTTCGAACTGGGAAGAGAATTATAGCCTCACTGCCCAAGTCAAACACAAGGTGATTAATCTTTTACGAGCCGTTATTAACACGTTGAATGCCACGCCAATTTTACAGGAATTGTCCGTGACGCCACGATGAATTTTCTATTATGCGATACATATAATGTTGAAATATTATCTGCAATAGATAAGTTACAATATATAACAATGTTTAACATGTTAATTGCGATGGGGTCACCGGTGACCCCCGTGGCATCCAACATGTTAAGAAAGATCATGAAAGTCTGCCTCGAAAGATCCTTCTTACACTTTTCTCTACTATCATTATTAATGTGATTATGATCGAACGAAGTGTGGACCAGCCGCCCGTCAAGGGCGGTTTATAATACACGTTTTCGCTAATAACTTCGTTAATAATCATCATAGGGAAATGTATAGAAGGAATTTTCGACTCAGAAATTCTACAGAAATTTCGCTCTCTTTCACTTGAACGCATTATTAGATAGTTTTGATCAACCTTAGGTAGACTTTATTAAGAAATACGTGCCAGAGGACGCTAGACTGCACTTAATTGGACATTCCATAGGGGCTTGGATGATTTTAAACATTTTAAAGGACGATTCAATATGTAAAAGAGTCTCCAAGTGTTACTTACTGTTCCCAACCATCGAGCAGATGGCTGAGACCAAGAACGGGTGGTTCTTCACGAGAATTGTAAGAAATAGTAACTAGAAGACTGAACCAAAATGAGATGAGGAATGAGTCCGAAATTGTTTTTAGGTCTCCAGAATCGCGTTCCTTCTAATCTTTCTTTCCTATATCTTCTCGTTCTTCCCAAAATTCCTTCAGCGTCTCCTTATAACTGCTTTTTTCCCTATACATGGTGTCCCAGGATCTCACAACGAGGCTGTACTTCATTTACTAAACCCGAAGAGCTTGAGGAATGTCCTTAAGCTCGCTAAAGAGGAGATGAAAACTGTGAAGCAACGAGACGATCCGCTCATTACAAGAAATATCGATAAATTGTGGTTTTACTATGGCAACTGCGATGGCTGGGTGCCTGTCAAGTTTTATCACGATCTCAAGGCGAAACATCCTGAGGCTCGAGCTCAATTATGCAAACAAGGCTATTATCATAGTTTTGTACTGAAACATAGCAGGGAGTTCGGCAAACTTGTTGGTGAGGCTATTAACTTGAATTAACCTTTAAACTTCTTTGTTTCTTCTCGTTTTAATCTCAGAAGCATGTATTTATTTTGTACTAATGAAATAAAAAGTCTGAGAATTTATTTATTTTTAAATGAAGAACCGCCATGAAATTCGAACTTCGGTTGTCTTCGGAGCCATCCGGACATCTCCAGGCAACACCAGCGCCGCTAAATCATCTCTGACTCTGACTAACTAAGTCCATAAGCATATAAGAATAGACCACGCAAGTGGTGCCGAGCCTATAAGTGGAAACCGTAGAAGTAAACAGAGAAAAAGAATGATAGGGGCCCTTTCTGTGTCCTTATCTAATTGTGTTTGCTTCGCCTACCTTTTTGTGTATGTGTATATTACAGCCGAAAGGTAGGCAGAGCAAACACGATTAGACAAGGACACAGAGATGGCCCGTATCATTCTCTTTCTCTGCTTTTCTCCGATCACTTTTTCGGACTGCTTGCGCGGTCTATTCTTATATGTCTATGACTGAATCACGCAGTTTGTTGCCATAGTTGCCAGAAAAGCGCACGACGCTTCCCCCATCATGGTCCCCTACGTACCCCTTCCGCCCAGGGATCTCGTAATTTTTCGCAGACGGCTCGCTTCCCCTGTTTTTCGCCCGTATTTCGATCCCCACTACTATTCCCCTCATGCGTGCTCATGCGCGTTCGCGAAGCTCTCCGCAGCGCTACCGTGAAAATCACTGCATACCCCCACCAACTATTGGTCCCCACAATGGTCGCGTCGTCCCCACTTTCCGGCCGAGCGAAAAATTACGAGATCCCTGCTTCCGCCAGCATTTTATCTCGATTCTCCTCGACTCTGCTTTAGCAGGCGATCCCCACTATCTCTGCTACGTCGACTGTCACGCACAGCGTTACCAGATTTTTACCCACGACGCTCGCTTCCCCTGTTTTTCGCCCGTATTTCGATCCCCACTACTATTCCCCTCATGCGTGCTCATGCGCGTTCGCGAAGCTCTCCGCAGCGTTATGGTCCCCACCATGGTCGCGTCGTCCCCACTTTGCGGCCGTGGGTAAAAATCTGGTAACGCTGGTCACGCAGTGTGGCCAGGTTGAGGACAGTAGCCAACGAGAATCACCCCTTCCACTTACGCACACTATCGTATTGTATCCGTGTACTCCAAGTTCGGCTCAACTTCGGCTCAGTAGAGAGAGAAGGCGAAACATCAGTCCTCTCCTCGCCAGTCAGTGGCGCGTTGCTCGGATCTTAAAGAGGTTCAGGGGTATCATCGGGGGGCGTGAGGGACGCGGGGAGGTGCCTATCCTTTAACATAGGACAGCAGCAGGGATGACAACTTAAAATAAATTATTGTATAC